GTAAAGACAATTCTATAATTTTACAGATTTTTGAATTGTAGTCTAAAACCCGATTGGATCTCATCCTGGCCTTGGTTAGTCCATGGTGAGCGACTCAAATAAATAACAATAACAATGTACTGTCAGTACTCATTGTATCTTCCTGGAACAGTAAAATATGAAGATCAAGATGCCTGTTCAATTTTAAACAATAAATAATGTTGAAATAGAAAATGACGATTAAAATCGATTATTAAGATCCAAAATCTATAAAAGATATTTATAGTTCAACAGTTTTTATCTTCTTAATAAAATTGTTGGCATAGATATCTATTAATTTGCTTCTTTTGTGTAGCTAATAAACTCAAAAACGACTGAACCGATCGGGAAATAATTTTTTTCCTCCAAAGAAGGTTTATTAAGGTCAGAATTTAAAGAAACTGTTTAAAATTTTTTTGATTTTTCAAAATCCACAAAAAAATGCCGCAGATAGAGCAACACACATTTAACAACAAATTTTTTTAAACGTTTTTTTTCTACAGGGTGAGTCAAAAAAAAGTGTGATTTACGGCGCCTGGTGCAAAATTTTACCTTTTTTTGTGCAACTCTCCTGTTTTGTGTTTTTTCAATATTTTTTGAAAATTCGTAATTTTTTTTGGTACTTCCGCGAACCTTTTTTTCTCTTAAAATCAAAAGTTAAGAAAAAGAAAAATGTGTAAATAAATTGTTTCTATCAAAATCTAAAATTTTAAAAAGATTGAATCACAGAATCTCAGAAAATTTGCAAAATTGTAATTAGAAAATTCGCAATTTTAAGTTTAGGTATAATTTTTACGGAAAAATTGTTCTTCAATGGTTCTTAAGGTTTCAACTGAACTGCGTATATTTAATACTTTAAAATATACTAAGAAGAAAGGAACTAAAGAATTTAAATGACTTTTCATTAAAAATTTGACCAGAACTAAAAATAGCGAATTTTCTATTTACAACTTTGCGAATTTTCTGGGATTCTTTTATTCAATTTTTAAAATATTTTAGATTTCGATAGAAATAATTTATATTCACATTTTTGCTTTTCTGAACTTTTGATTGAGAAAAAAATTACAAATTTTCAAAATATATTGAAAAACACCATACCTGAGAGTTGCACAAAAAAGGTTTAATTTTGCACAAGGCCCCGCAATTTACACTTTTTTTTGACTCACCCTGTAGTAATATAATTTAACGCGAAATCCTTCTAAAAACCTGTCAAAATATGCTTATATTAAATATTAAATATGCAATGTACTTTAGCATACCATCTTTTTTATTTTTTCAAATTAATAAGATTTGTTAGACTTGGAAGATTATTATTTTTTATTCTTCTTTATTTTTTCACGCACACAAACAGATTTTTATTTTGCCTCTTATCTTCAATAAAAATATTCACTAAAAGGAAATATTTGCATATTTTTCCTCAAATTCATATAATTTTCATAATAATAATGTGTATAATAATAACATAATACACAGCATTTAATTTTTAAGTAAGTGGTAAAGCTGTTTATTTTTTGCAACATTGCTTCAGTGTATAGTCTTCTCTTTCCAGTATTCTGGGTCTCTATATCATAGATAGAATTATCATGGACTAACCACTAACCAGGGCTGTTTATTTTTTGCAACATTGCTTCAGTGTACAGTCTTCTCTTTCCAGTATTCTGGGTCTCTATATTATAGATAGAATTATCGTGGACTAACCACTAACCAGGGCTGTTTATACTTTTCCGTTTGGCATACATTCACAGACAAAAAGTTTGGTAAAATCGTTATCAAAAGTCACAACTTACTGGGAGAAGGAGCGATCTGTTAAATCTCGAAGAAAAATCCAAAATTAAATTTACACAATGGAAGTGAGTTCTTGCCACAAACTCAAATTTTCTACTCCCTGTATCTTTAAAACCTGATGGTGTAAACCTTTTATATTGTCCTGATTAATTAATATTTACAAATCATAGTTGAAGCTAAAGCTGTTCTTCTCTATCCAATCCTCCTGCCCTACCTAAACCATCCACCACCACACCGTCAATACCGTATCTATAATTTTTCTTTCTTTTATTATCGAGCAACTGGGGAGCTGATATGAAAACAGCTACAGCTATAGCAGTTCTCCAGACGCAGAACATTAATCAGTTGACAATTAATCTACCACTTGTAATAATGATTTATCAATGTTTCTGCGTAAATAAATAATATTTGATTTGATTTGATTTGATATTTCAGACTTATATTATATAAAATAACAGAATTTAGATTAGAAATATTAAAGGCCTCACGTCGGGTTGCAAAGATAGGAATAAGAAAATAAATCAGAGTTTGTGGCAAAAACATAATTCCATTTTATTAGCGCTGTCAGGTGGACAAGAGTTCGAACAACAAGTTAAACAAAAAAGGGAATTTTTTTATCATTTTTCGCAAATAAGGAGTCCTTAAAAAAACGAGAATTCACCAAGAACAATGAATAAGATATTTTCTCTAAAATGTGATCGCCTACAAGGCTTCTATTTTTACCGAGATAAAAAAAAATTGAAAATCAATACTCTGCTGCACAGACGTCTAAAGCAAAAATACACGCAAAAAATACCTCTAAAGATGTCTGAAACTTAAAGGCTTCTCATAAAATTGAAAATTTAGTACATAACAAGGTTCCAATGGCCGCCAGTCAACTATAGTTAAAGTACACATCGGAACATCAGAACCACACATTGTAAAACATATATAAAACTTAACAAAACTTCCAGACTTGCTTTATTAAAAACAATATTAAAGAGACCTGAACAAGATTACAGTGATACAGTGATAACCAGAAAACAAATAGAGAAAACTTTAGAAAGAGCTTGAGAACTAAACATAACTTAAGAACTAGAATGTACTAGAGAACTAGAGAGATATAAGTACTTAAGAAGAAGAAAACTAGTAAGAACTATAGGGATAAATAGATAACTATAGAGAACCATAGAGAACGATAGAACTAGAAAACTATATATCTAGGAAGAAAACTAGAGAATCAAAGAGGACTAACGAGGACTAGAGAGAACTATGAAGAACTAGAGAGAACTAGTGAGAACTAGAGAAAAATAGTGAGAACTAGAGAGAACTAGAGAACTAGAGAGAACGAGAATGAAGTAAAAAGAACTAGAAAGAACCAAAGAGAAGTATAGAGAACTAGAGAACTAGAGAGAACTAGAGAGAACTAGAGAGAACTAGAGAGAAGTAGAGAGATCTAGAAAGAACCAGAGAGAACTATAGAGAACTAGAGAACTAGAGAGAAGTAAAGAGAACTAGAAAGAACCAGAGAGAACTAGAGAACTAGAGAGAAGTAAAGAGATCTAGAAAGAACCTGAGAGAAAACTAAATATAGCTAGAGAACTTACTCTTAGAGAGAATTTAATAACCAAATTTAAAATTTTATAGAAACATTAAAAAATGCCAAAATTGGCAGAAACCAGCGAGGAACATTAAATGCTTAATTGAATGCAAACTCAATATTTTATCAATATTTTATAAAATACATATTATCTATACATAATTACATATTTTTACTTCAGCCAAATTAAGTTATTTCAAAAATTTGTTTTTTTTTTGCATTTTATTAAAAGAAACCATAATGTTTGTGTGTAAATAACCGTTTTTGTTTTACCAGAAATACACAAAACTGGGTCATTACAAATTTTCTCTTTGTTTAATATAACTATACGAGTAGAAATTTTGAATTTACTGGGCGAATATTGTTAAAAATGAATAAAATTTATTTTTTCTTAAAATATAAAAAATATATTGATAAGCTAAAACAGTTAGATGTATCCTGGAATCAGGAGAAGTATCCGGGTACTATGAAAAGTAGGACTATATTTGTAGGAATGATGAAATCTGGTCTAATTGGTCCGTGACCTTGTTTTCCCTTTACCCTGGGAATTTCAACGCTAGATCTGAGTCATGCGTTAACTTGTTGAATAAAACAATAGTACACTTCCTTCTTCTATTTACATTCTACATAGCTCATCCTTCTCCTTATCCTCATCCTTCTCCTTATCCTCTCATCCTTCTCCTTATCCTCATCCTTCTCTTCATCCTCATCTTTCTCCTTATCCACATCTTTCTCCTTCTCCTTATCCTCATCCTTCTCCTTATCCTCATCCTTCTTCTTGTCCTCATCCTTCTCCTTATCCTCATCCTTTTCATTATCCTCATCCTTCTCATTATACTCAACCTTCTCCTTATCCTCATCCTTCTCCTTATCCTCATCCTTGTTATTCTCCTCATCCTTCTCCTTATCCTCATCCCTCTCCTTATCCCCGACCTTCTCCTTACTCCTTATCTTTATCCTTCTCCTTATCCTCAACCTTCTTCTTATCCTCATCCTTCTCTTTATCCTCATCCTTATCCTTAACCTCATCCTTCTCATTATCCTCATCCTTCTCTTTATCATCATTCTTCTTCTTATCCTCATCCTTCTCCTTATCCTCATCCTTCTCCTTATCCTAATTCATCTCCTTATCCTCATCCTTCTCCTTTTCCTCACCCTTCTCCTTATCCGCATCCTTCTCCTTATCCTCATCCTTCTCCATATCCTCATCCTTCTCCTTATCCTCATCCTTCTTAAAATCATCCTTCTCATACTTCTCCTTATCCTTCTCCTTCTCCTCATCCTTATCCTTCTTCTTATCCTTATCCTTATCCTTTTCTTAATCCTCATCCTTCTTTTTATTCTCATCCTTTTCATACTCATCCTTCTCCTTATCCTCATCCTTCTCATAATCATCCTTCTCATACTCAATCCTTCTCCTTATCTTCATCCTTCTCAACTCATTCTTCTCATTATCCTTCTCCTTCTCAACTCATTCTTTTCATTATCTTTATCCTTCTACTCATCCTCATCCTTTTAATTATTCTCTTTTTTATTTTTCTCATTCTCATCCTTCTGCTTATACTCATACTTCTCCTTATTCTAATCCCTCTCATCATTCTCATCCTTCTCATTATTCTCATCCTCCCTCATCCTCTTCAGACCAATCTTTCTCCTTCTTTTCTTGATTCTGCTCCTCACAACCATACTCCAATTCTTTTTCTCTATCCTCATTCTTCTCCTTACCCCTATCCTCCTCCTTATCCACCTCACCATCTCCCAATCCTTCCTTCTCCTCCTCCTCCTCCGCCTCCCCCTCCACCTCCTCCTTCCCATCCTTATCATTTTTTATCGTTCACCTAATCCTCATCATAATTCTTTTCTTTATCAATATCCTCATTGTTTTAGTCCTTCTCCTTTTGTTAATTTTTTTCTTCTCATTATCATCCTATTCCTCATCCTTCTCTTCATTCTCATCCTCATAATCATCTTTCTTCTACTTCTCATCCTTCATCTCTCGCTTATCCTTCTCCTTATTTTCAACGTGCCTCTATTTTCATCCTCTCCTTCTCCTTATTCTCACCCGTTTCCTCATTTTAACGTACCCTTATTTTTATCCTCTCCTTCTCCTCATTTGTTTCCTTCTTCTCTTTCTTATCCTTCCCCTTATTTTCAGCTTACCCCTATTTTCATCCTCTCCTTCTGCTCATTCTCACCCGTTTCCTTTCCAATTCCTTATATCAACATATTGAACTTGCTTCTCGTCTCTGTTCTCCTGCTCCTCCTGCGTAGTATAAGATTTTATCCTCCTCTTGTCCTTTGTAGTATCCTTGCTTCTCTCTCTCTATCCATCCCTGCATCTGCAGAGAGAGCAATGAACCCGTCAAGCGGCTAAGAGTGTTACACAATTGTGTGGGTTTAATACATCGTAGTAATCGTATAAACATATTTTTGTTTTTCAATATTTTGTTCTCCGAAAACTCTTCTTTTTTTGACGTTGTTTACACTTTATATATGAAACTTGAAGCTTCATAATTATACGTTGCCCTACCGGCTGCCCCTTCCCCTATCAGCATGATTATAATACGTGGCTGCTTTAGTACCTAATTGTTAAAATAAATTCGAAATATAAGGAAGACGATTTTTCCGACTCAAATGCCGACGTTAATTCTCAATGTTTGTGTACACAGGAAGCAAGCACACCACATGTGTCAAATCCCCGCTCACCTTAGATCCCCGCTTCAACCGGCAGTCAGTTACTAACACTCATATTCACAACTCCATCTCTACCCTGGCTCCTCCATGATGATGATGCAGATACTCAGCGCAACGCACCTGTAGATCTGCCCCACCAACATGAAGCTCTACATCACCCCCCCTGACTCCTCCATGATGATGATGCAGATACTGAACTAACAGCAGGCATGCTTATACTTCTGATCTCCCTATTAACTTCTTGAGAAGCTTACTTAGGAAACTTGTCGAGCCTTGTCCGAAGTTTCCGCTATCTTGAGTTGCCTTGCCTCTGATACATTGATAAACCCTGTTGTCCCAGTTCCCGGATCTGCTCCACCAACATGAAGCTCTACAACACTCCCTTGAAGCACCATCTAATATCCATCATTAATTCCTTTTGTTAATTTCTAAATCAACCAATTTTAACTTCGCCATGTGCAAATATTTCAAAACAATTTTATTTTTCTTAAATAAATGTTATAGAATATTTGTGTTTTTTCCTGATTTCTTTATTTGTATATTTTCTGACCTTTTTAAAGGTCAACACTAATATATAGTGCTTTAATTCAGGATGTTATGTATCTAAATTTAGTTGTTTTTTTTTTGACTGAGCTTATCACTTCAGTTAAAACCATGATCAGCATTGGCCGCAATACTAGATTCATGCGAAAGAAATTGAGTTTTTGCCACAAACCAGCTTTTCTAATATATATATCTTTGCAACCTGGCGATGTAAACCTGTGATATTTCAAACTTAGACTATTTGATCTAACAGAATTCATAGTTAGAAATATTAAAGTTCAACAACACCGGGGTTGCAAGGATATATGGATAAGAAATCAAAGTTTGTGGCAAAAACTCAAGTCCTTTGACCCAAATTCTAATGTACCACATGGGTTACTTATTACTATAAAGAGTTAAATGTGTACATATTATACCAACGTGACAACCATAAAACTTTGGAATAGAAGGATCAAGTTTTAGACCCAAGTTATGGAGTTTAAATAGTCCATGAACATTGAACATGAGGTACAGCAATTGTGCAGTGTTGCTATGCTTTGTAACAACATCAAATTCACTTCATATATTCAGAGGCGCAACTAGCACTTTTGCTATGGGGTGGGGGGTTCCGCTCCTTTAGTTTTATTTTTCAAAAAAAGTTTTTTTTAACGGTTTGATGTCGAAAAAAGGAAATTTTCAGTTGCTGCATGCAGATTTGTTTGTGTTCAATTCAAATCGTTTTTTCTTGTTTTTAAAAAATTTAGTGTGTGCGAGGAGTGGCAAAGAAAATTTGCTAAATACCTGGTTTAATTACAGATATAATTACAAGAAATAATTATTTATATATCCTGAAAAAAAATACATTTAAAATTTTAATTATCTACATTGAAAAAGGACAGATAATCTTACGTTTTCTCCTGAAGTTATTGAATTTATGATTGATCATTCTAACCAACATCTTAATATTTCATTTTCGATTTATGGAAGTTCTTTCAAAGAAGATAAACAGGTTACAGTTAATGTTACTAAATATGATAATCAGTTATAAGTTTCACTAACATCTACTTTTTTTTCTACAGAGGTTTGGTCCATCCCCATCACCAAATTTTAATTCAATTTGAAAGTATTTAAATTATCCAATCAGATTGGACATGGTTGTAGCGCGCATATCCGGCCTTATATACAAATTTTTCCGCTATATTAATTTCTGAGAATTAATATGTAACTTTACTAATTACGGTGTGATTTCGTGTTACGTAATTTCGCGTGATTACGTCTAAACAATTCTGCAAGGGGGGCGCCCCCGGCCGCCCCCCCCAAGTTGCGCCTCTGCATTTATTGCAGCCTTAATGTCGTCTTTCTATTCTACATTTTTCTGGCGCCCACCGTATGCATGTCGATGGGATGTTGATTTAATGATTTAATAATTCTTTTAAAATTGTGTGTTTATATGATCCTTTATAGTCTTTTTTCCGCTTTTTACTATTTCATCAGTTTGACCCTGGAAAACTATTGCCAAGCCAATCTTAGTTACCATGTAGCGCAGAATTGTGTGGCGCGAACCGTCTAGCTTGGCGCTATCAATTCATATTGCTCGTACCGTCATGCCCTTGACTCGGTCCGTCTTCTTCAACTTAAGGCTACGAGTACCGACTCGTCACTCTACATCAACTCAGCGCAGAAAAATGACACGGAACGTAAATTTACACAAGCTTGAAGCTGCGGCCATAAATTGGCGCGAACCGCTGGGTATGATGTGTGCTGATGCTGCTGAAGGACTTGTTTCTTCCTTCATGCATTCCAGCAAAGCGTGGGTCTGTAGAGGACCGAGAGAGGCCTGGGATGGGGGATAGAGTGCAAACTGGCTCGTACCGCCACTAAACCGTGGGAAGTCCGTCTATCCTATATTTGCACAAGGGGAAGCCCTTACATACGGGATACGTCAGACTAGTTCTTTTAACTGTTCTTAAAGTTCAACTAACTTTCCATTACTTACTGCATGGCACTTATTAAAATAAAAGTCAAGTGTATTCTGTATTAATCAATCACACATATTATTTTCAACTTAAGGAAAAAAGGAAAAAAACCTACAGGGTGAGTCAAAAAAAGTGTGATTTGCAGCGACTGGTGCAAAATTGTACCTTTTTGGTGCAAACTCTCATGAATGGTGTTTTTCAATATTTTTTAAAAATTTGTAATTTTTTTTGGTACTCCAATGGCCCAAAAGAAAATCCGCAAATCTTTTTTTTCTCTCGAAACCAAAAGTTCAGAAAATCAAAAAAGTGCATTCATTTCTCTCTAAATCTAAAATTTTAAAAAGATTGAATCACAGAATCACAGAAAGAAAAAGTTATTTAAATTCCTTTCTTCTTTTGAAAGAAAAAAAGGTTCGCGGATTTTTTGTTTGGGCCATTGAAGTACCAAAAAAAATACAAATTTTCAAAAAATATTTTTAAAAAACATCATACAGAAGAGCTGCACACAAAAAATTTATACTTTTGCACCGGGCGCCGCAAATCACACTTTTTTTACTCACCCTGTATGTTTTGCAAAGGCGTGCGTATTCAGGGGAAGGGGCTATAGGGGCTAAGCCCCCCCTGGTCCAGTAAAATCTATTGATTTCAGGGAGTTTTTAAGCCCCAACGTGTGCTGAGCCCCTTCCTGGAAAGAAAAAAATTAAGCCCCCCCCCCTGGACAAATTCCTGAATACGCCCGATCGCTACTGATTTTGCCACAAACTAAAATGTTCTTATCCCTAGCACCCCAATGTCGCAGACCTTAAATATTTCAAACTTTGAACTCTATTATGATCAAATAATCTAAGTTTGAAATATCAAAGGTTTACACCATTCGGTTGCAGAGAAATATGGATTAGAAAATTGAAGCTTGTGGCCTCAGTTTCTTTATATATTTAAGTGTAAGATATTAATTCCATTTAAATTCAAATAATTAAAATTCAAAACATTTTCCCCTCAACGATCTTCAATAAGAGGATGGAGTGTTGATTAAAAATATGTAACATTTTAATCTGCGTAAAGTGCGACCTGTAAAGTGTTCCTTAAGTTGACCGCAATAATTCTATTTCAAACGCAAAAAAAGCTAATTCTTTGTTCTACATAGTACAAATCCTTTGTTTGTTTTTAAAACTAATGAACTCTTATTTCAAGCTACAGAGATGTGTGGTGTGTGTTATATAAAATAAACATATCACTAAAGTTTGAAATATCTAGATTAAGAAAATTTGCAAGTTGAGATCTCTAATCTTGAAGGACTTGTATTTCACTTTCAAACTTTTTAACTTTCTAAATCTAAATATGATAAGTAATAATTAATTTTTGAAAATCGTGTTTAAGGGTTTTGCGGTTCAGTGACTTATATATTTCCATATAAGTTGCAAAGATCGAAACATGGCTGAATTTTATTCCAATAAAAAAAACTTTAAAAGTCTAATAAGTTTTTTAAACGTTAATCAATCGATCAACCCTTGAACACGATTTTCAAAAACGTTTTATTTTTTATCATATTTAAATTTAAAAAGTTTTTTAAACGTTAATCAATACCCTCCAAGTTGTGACTTATCTTTCAAAATACAAAGGCAGATTTAAATTCCCTAATACCTACTCCTAAAAAGAAAACTTCTTTTCTATACAAAGATATCTTGTCTGAAAATAACTGCATTCAGCACATCATCCTTTATCAGCAGTTTATACGATTTAAAAAACAGACTTGTATATATATATATAGAGAGAGAGTATAAAGCCATTGTTATACATATTATATTCATAAATTCATATATGTATGTTTATATTTATAATATCTATCTATATACTTTGCTAGTCTGTTTGTTTGTTTGTTTGTTTGTGTCCAATAAACGTCAAAACGACTGGACCGGTCGGGCCAAAATTTTGCTTGGGACTTCACGGTAACCGCCAAAAATGTCCTTGGAAAAAAGTCTCCGGAAAAAAGTCCTTAAATTTCACATTAAAAAAGTCCTGTGGATAAAAATTCCTTTTATGAAAAAGTCTCCGGAAATAAAGACCTACCAATTCGGGACTTTATTTTCTAAGACTTTTTTTCGGGCTCCAGTATGATTTTATACAAAAAAGTCCTCGGAAAAAAGTCCTTTAACAAGTGAAAATGCATGATCCACAATGAAAAAAGTCCTGGTTGTAAACATCCTATCAATAATCGTATGTTTTCAGGGGCTTGATATTTAAACACCCCTGGCTAAATATATATATTCAATATGGAATAAGTCCTTTTTATGAAAACTTCTCAGACTTAACCTCATTTTCCAAATTGCACATGGAAAAAAGTCCTTTTTTAAGAATATAAAACTAGCCCTGTATATTATGTACATAGTACACTTGTATGGGGGATTTTATACAAAACTTTTCTTAGGACTTTTTTTCCGCAGACTTAAATTACTGAGTTCAAATTTCCCGAGACTTAGGACTTTTTTTCTAGGTTTTTCTTTTCCTCGGATTTATTTTCTTCAGGACTTTTTTCCTGAGATCTTATTTCCTGAGACTTTATTGACAGCCCCCATACTATTTTAGGAAAAAAGTCCCAGGAATCCAAAACACAGGACTTTATTTCCAATGACATTTTATCCAAGGACTTGAGAAAATTCTGACTTTTTTCCAAAGTTTTTATTTCCAGTTTTTTTTTCCAGAAACTTCAATTCCCGTGACTTTCTTGCCTCAGTAGAGGATATGGGGAGAAAGGTGGAAGATACGGACGTAAAGGGTAAAAAGAAAGGAGGAAAACTGCATTGGAAAAATAGTCTATTTTTGCAAAAGATAGATCGGGTTAGGAGTGGAGAAAAATATTTTAAAACTTTTTTTCAAATCTTTATTTTGTTCCAGGTTAT